ATATGTTTATAGATAATTTTTTATTTTATTTAGAATATTAATTTTACTTATGAAATATATAAATAAGAAAATAATAATAAAAATATTATAATTAAATTTTATTATCATATAGAATTAGATTAAACTTCAAATATTAATTTTACTAAAGAATTTGTTATATTCTCACTTTCACATGAGTTATAATCTTTTTCAAAAAAGATATTAATAGTTAATAATTTTTATTATATAATTATAAATAAGTAAAATAAATTAGATTCATAATATTTTACTTTCGAAATAATTAATAATATAATTAAGATATATTCTTTGACAATTAAGAATATTTTATATTTATTTTTCATTTATTTTTATAATTTCTTTTTATAATAATAATATATTCCAAATTATAATATATTGCAAATAAGAATAATATTGCTAATTATTAAGAGAAAGTAAAGAGATTTAATGTTATTTATTAATAATAAGATTTTGTGTTAATATCATTGATTATTCACTTTATTTGACAAACTTTTTTTAGAAAATTAATATTAGCTCAATAGATTGAAAAAATTTTTAGTGACTTGTTGTATCCCTCCAAAAATCGGACAAAAATAGTTCGGCTACTTTTGTTCTATCGGATCAATCCGAAAAAAGCAGATCAAATCCGAATTCGGTTCGGATTGACTTTTTTTGATCCAAAATTTCATATCGGGTTGATCTTCTAATCATTAGATTTGGTAAATTTGGTTCAGTAAAACTGGCATTTGATTTGCTCATCTTTGACAAAAATAATTTCCTAATCCAAAGAGGTGATGGATTATGCGCAATTCAATTGGTTTTGTCTCGTTCACCAAGAAAGAAGTCTCTCTGGAAGAGCTTACCATTCGCCTTTGATCACAAACAAAATTCTCTCAAGGCCTCGTTACTTTCATTCTATTATAATACTGATAGATTAGACCCAACTTAAATTGAGCTCTACTCCTCAGATCTATACTTTCTGATTTTCGCACCATTCTTTTGTCCTAATCCCGATGAGCAATCATTATGTGTGGCTCACACTGTATTTCTTTCTTAATCTTGCCTTAACTCTATATAATAAAGCAGTAATGCAGTTATTCGACTTTCCTTTTCCCTGGACATTAACAGGCGTGCATGCGTTATGCGGTGCTATTGGCTCCTATTCATTTTACTGGCTGGGTTTGTTTCAACCTGCACATTTGACGGAGCGTGAAAGTATGCAAATGTTGCTTTTTTCCGTTTTATATACAATAAATATAGCGATAAGCAATGTTTCTTTGTAAGTATTTATTTATGAAAAATATCCCTTTACGTGAAACTTACTTATAACTTAAATTTTCTTTTTTCATGAAATCAAGACATTTAGTTACTGTTCCAGTAAGAATTTCTTTATCAATACTGAGTAATCAAAAAATTTTTTATTTTTAACAATTATTTTAATTAATTTAAAGATCCCTTTTCATAAATAAATCCATTCTCTAGTTCCATCAGGTTGTTCGTGCAATGACCCCAATATTCACAATAATACTTTCGATCGTTTTCCTTAAAAAACATTTTCCGATAATGACATACGTTTCCTTGCTGCCGGTGAGCAACAAATATTTATTTTCCATTAGAGGAATAAAGTTAGTTGATTAGTTTTAATACGAATGAATGGCGGAAGAAAGAGGTCGTCAAATAACATCTAACAATGCAAAATCAATTGAAATGAACATCTAAAAGGTTGTTTTAGGAGTTGTATTTGCTACTGTGGGAGATTATTATTTTACCTCGATGGGTAAGTGAATCAAATATTCTTTTTTTTTTTTTTTTTTAAGTGAATTATATCTCGTTTAATTATTGATTTTTTTTTGTTTTTATTCAATACATTAGGATTTTTCCTAACAGTCCTTGGAACAATATTAGCAGCACTAAAGACTGTTGTCACGAATCGGGTTCAAGTGGGACGGCTTAAACTTCATCCGCTGGATCTCCTATTACGAATGTCACCATTAGCATTCGTACAAACAGTAATCTACGCTTACGTTACTGGAGAACTGAATCGAGTTCGATCTTTTAGTCGAACCGAAATGACAACATCATTGGTTATTGCTTTGGTGACAAATGGTGTCATTGCCTTCTTTTTAAATTATGTTAGTTTCACAGCTAATAAAAAAACATCAGCTTTGACAATGACTGTAGCTGGAAATGTAAAACAAGTATTATCAATAATTTTGGCAGTTGTTATCTTCAATCTCACAATAACTCCAACAAATGGCTTTGGAATATTTTTAACGTTATGTGGAGGTAGAACATCTAATTTAAATAATTTGTAGTATTTCTAATAGTTACTATATTAAATTACTTATTTGATTCAACTCTCGATTTTTGCAGGTGCTTGGTATGCGTGAGTATTATTTATATATATATATATATATATTTATATAATGATTTTCTTCGGAATATTATTAAAACAATGATTTTTCTGGAATCTTAATCATTAGGAAAATTGAGTTGACAGAACGAATTCAAAAACAAGCTCCAAAAGAATCACCTCCATTAGGTCGGTGATTAAGATTAATGGAGATAACCTTATTGAGAGGGATCCAAATACCAATATGCGTTAATTTAAAATATTCCAACTTCGGTTTGAAGTTCCTTTATTCCTTCTTTTTTGTTTATTTCAATTATATTTATACGTAATAGATGTAAAGCTTTAATTACCATCATAATCTGGTTAATCATCAGCATCCATCTTATTTTTTCACATATTATAGAAAAATTTCTTGTATAAATAAACATAATGTTTATTTTTAGAGTTAATTTTTTGGAATAGAATTTTATAAAAAGTATTTATTAAAAATTTTACATATATACGCATTTTTTACATCGTAGCTTTGACGTGAGAACTATGCTAGTTGACACCAAAACAGAAATAAACAAGTTACCTTTATCTGAAGATTTGTTACGTTATTACAAGGAAAGAGTTGGTATGTCTTTTTACTCTATTATGAATAATCTTTCCGGATATTTTTCATTGCAATTCAATCATTTGAATTGATTGAACTTAAAGAAAAAGCGGAACGGGAATACCAAAATGCAATTGACTCATTTAATAAATGCAAAGTGTCTCATGAGGAACACCACAAGTTGACGTGGGAATTAAATCAAAGAACACACGAAATTTCAGAACTTCAGAAAACGCTTAGTGAGACACAGTTATTTTTAACACAAGAAAGGCGTCGTTTAATGCGAGTAGTTGCGGAAAATGACGAATTACGAGGTTTTACACGATGACTAAGTGGTTGTATTACATGGCCATAAATATCTTGCTAACAATTCAATAAAACAACAGTTCAAGAAGTCCAAGATCGTAGGAAAATCCAATATTTATTATCGATAACAGCGCCCGAACATTCAGATGATGAAATCGACAATCAACGTGATAAGGTTAACTTTTTTTTTTTTCGAAAAAAAGGGGAATTTTTCGTGATGGCTGACTTTATTCATATTCACAGAATCCTAATCATCCTGATCCCCGAGATGATCAAATCGAATGCTTAAATTTAAAAGTAAAAACATTAACGACTCAGCTCGAAGAACAGGTTTGTTTATTAAATTTTGGAAATATTTATTTATATCAGTTCAATCTATCATTTTTATTATATTTGTTAATTATGCGCTTCCAAGAGGCATGGGTATGAAGAAATTATCGCCAGTCTTGAAATGGATCGTCAGGCTTTGATTGAAGAAGAAAAATTGCGTCGTCAATATGATTCTGATAAAATTCAGGAATTGACGGCTAAAGTTCAAAGACTGGATTTGTTTTGCCGTGAAAGTACCAAAGGTAATGTTTGTTGCTTGCTATATGGGAACTAATATTATCAAGTAATAATGTAATTGATTAAAAATACTCAGAATTACTTCAGATCAAAAAAGATCAGCGCGCAGAAGAGCAAAGAATGCACGAAGAACACGCTGATTTATTGCAAAAGTTTATTAGTTTAAAGACGCAGCTTAACGAAGAAAAAGAAAGAAACGATACGATAGAGAGAGTATGATTTATTTAGTAATATGTTGATTGTCCAGATAATTGATCTAATTGACATTTTTTTAATTCGAAGACTGTGGAAAATAAAATTGCCAAAAAACATGAAACTATAATGGCTGAACTAAGAAGACAAATTGGCAATTATGAGGACGAATTAAGAGTATTAAAGGTACTTTTCTCCTAATTCCTCTCATCAATATGATGACACTAAATAATATATTTCAATTTAAGACCGAGCAAAAAAATTCAGAGACTGGATTCCGCCGGAAAATTGCAAATCTTTTAAAAAAGATTGATACGTTGACGGCAAAGTAAAACTCTCAACTAATGAAATATCATATTTTATTGGTAAACTTTGAGATTAACGCGTTTCAAATGTTTAATATCGCTCCCTACATTATTAATAACAATAGTTATAACGCTTTGAGAAAACGACGTAATTTCGATTTGGAAGGATTTACCAACGATATTTCTATGTTGAGAAAAGAACTTAAAGGATTAGAGAAGCAGATATTGAAATACGCCCCAATTGACGATCGAGAATTGCATTTATTGACTTTAGGTATGCAAAATTTTATAATTTGGGTAAGAGAAAAAATAATAAATTGCCTTTTTTAATTTTTAGCCCAGGAAACCGGAGAACATGTTGAAAAAGTATCAAAACAATTGCGAGATCTTAAAGTATGTGCCCCTTTTTTCGTCATTTAATTGGTAAAATTTTATATTAACTTTTTTCGAACGTTATCAAAGGCTCAAGTATATACTACCGAGAAGGAATTACACGAATTGGTGTTTTAATTATATGTTCTCTCTGAGAATAAAAAAAATATCGAGACGAGATATATATTTTTATATATGTATCTTAAATATATAGAATCTTTGATTATTCTATAGTATGGAAAAGCGTACAATTATATAATAATATACAATGAAAGCGTTATATAATTGTCGACTGATAATACCATCGCTCCTTTTAACCTTTGACTTTATTGGTACCACGAAGTAAACCACTTCGTCTGGCAGCTATCAATCCAACCTAAAGAAAATAAAAGTTTTTAATGATAAATAAATTATCAGTTTTTTGTTCATCATTCCACCGCAATAATAACTCACCTTTTGACCAGGCGCACTTTCCCGAGAAACAGTTGACGCGTGACCAATATGTTGATGATTACCACCACCGTGAGGATGGTCGACGGGATTCATTGCAACACCACGAGTCTTTGGCCAACAATTTCTTTTTACTTTGTATTTATGATAAGCGCGACCAGCTTTAAGCAAAGGCTTATCAATACGTCCACCCCCTGCTACAATACCGATTGTAGCACGTGCATTAGAATTGAGAACTTTTTTCGCACCAGATGGAAGTTTGATGCGAGTCTTTCCCTCTTCGTGATTATGACCAATAATTGTGGCGTAATTTCCTGAGGCACGAGCTAACGCACCACGATCACCAATTTTTTCCTCGACATTGCAAACGATTGTACCCTCGGGCATGGCGCTAAGTGGTAAGACATTTCCAACGGTCAAGGCCGCCTTTTTTCCACAATACACAAATTGTCCCGTGTGTAATCCCTCTGTTGCAATGAAAGTTTGAACTCGAAGTTTATAACTGAAAATAGAGAAGATATATAAAAATTCATCGTCATCAAATAAAGAAAATCAAATAAATATTGTTTGATAAAAAGCAAAGAGCAGTTAAACTTAAATAGAGCTAACGGCATACCGATATGGGTCACGAAATTGAACTTTTGCGAGGGGTGCACCCCTACCAGGATCGTGCAGAACTTCTTTAACGATGCCCCGAATGTAGCCATTTCGTTCTGCGTAATCTAGAGGTCTTAATTTTGCTGCGCCTTTTCGAAGGCGAGTGTGGGATTTGAAAATGCCACCGGGCCCTTTCCTTTGTGATCTTATAACACGACCCATTATTTACTTCTTTACCAGTGGTGAAGGCCGGATTTGTTAGGAAAATTTTTTACTCATTTTCAGGTGATGTAATTTTTATTGGGAATCGAATAACGTGATTTCATAACATTAAAAACATTTTTTTTTTGCATTTATATTTATTATAGCCAATAACTAAAATATGTCCGTTTGTTAAGATTATAATAATAGAACAATTATACCTTTATTTGGAAGGTATAAACTGAAATTTGCAGTGCCTATTCGATATAAATTTTAATAACTGTGAATGTTAATATGATTTATATTATTCCAATCTTAAAAATCGGCAACATCATCATCTTCATCCATTTCTCCTTCAGCAATTTCCTGGGCAAGCTCTCGTTCTCTTTCACGAAGAGCCTCAGCAGATGCCAATTCTTTTCTGTGCGCGTTAAGCGGAAACCTCATCGCCTATATTTAGAGTGTTGATTTATTAAGCAATTTAATTTATATTTATATATCGACTGTTTAGATAAAATTTACCTTGACAGACTCATTGTGAAGATTCAAACAGAAACTAATACGTTGGTGAAACGCAATTTGAGGCTCATTCGTAGAATAAATATCAACAATTTCCTATTATTTGAAATACAATTAGATTATTAATTATAAAATTAATTATACAAAATCTAGCATACCTTGGATTTCATGAATCCTTTTTCGTGGTCGATGATGGCATCAATTACACCATCACGGATCGCCTTGGCTACAATATACTCGGCGTCTTCTTCACTATCGAGATGCAATTTCAAACAAATGTCACGCAGTGGTATCCGTGAATAAGAGAGACTTATCATTCTGATTCCAGTTTTGATTACATTATGACGCAGCCTATGAAAATATCATTATTTTTGTATTAATAGTAGTTAAGACATCGAGGAATGACGAATTTTTCAAGTGACCTTAGAATTAACGTATATGTTTTGTCATTACGGAACACATCTCCATATTTTGCAAGAGTTTCCTGGAAGTTTGAAAGATCTCCAATTCGGACAACTATACAAAATCACGTTTTATTAATTTGAATCGCCAAGTGTAAAAACCATAATGTTATGAATTATTGTTATACCTTGAACAATGTGTAGATATGGAATCAAAGGTTTCTTTAAGACAGGCTGTCTAAATATAGATCGCTCAGGTATCTCACCCATCAAAAGTTGAACAATGATAGAAAGTTTGTAAACCTAATAAAATTTCATCATGTATTTGTAAGGGAGAAATTATTAATTATCATGTAAATATTCGATCGAGTAAAAGAAAAGGTTCCCTACAGCTTGTTGAAATCCAGCAGTAGCGGTATTCTGGGGCGCTTTGCGGATGGCTTGCAACAAATGTGTATGTGACAAAGTATAATCTAGCTGAATTGCTTTAATTCGACCTGTTCGTAAAAACATGTTAGCAATAAATAGTCATTCTTAATCTATTGCATATTTTAATAAGTTACCTAGATAGTACATGTATCGGGCTTGCTGATTGTTACCAGCTGTCTCGGGAAAAGTTGTTTTGCTTACAAGCTTATCAGCTTGATCATAGAGATTATAATGGAAATAATTTCTCAACAATAAATTAATCAAAGTAGCCTATTTTAGGGATTCATTAATGCAGTGAATTCAAAGTATACATATTAATTAAGCTTGGAAAAATCACGAACAAAAGTATGAATAATAATATTACTTGAGAGTCGTCATCATGACGCAAGGTCGCAGTCCTTTGAGCTGCCAACAATGCTCTAAAATAGGAAAATCAGATTACATTAATAATTACCATGAAAAATATAAGAACAACAAATGATAATCCATACGGTCTAATTTCGGCCAAATTTCCGGTAAGCTCGTAGAATCGCGCATAGAAAAAGTAAATGCGAGCAGACAATTGGTCCAAGGTTCGACGGTTTGTATTTTTGATTTTGTTAATCGTCTCATTTGCGAGCAGAATACCCTGAATGAATTGTTCCAGTATAAAAAATCATGAGTGTCTTATCGTATAATTGTGATAGTAATTAAATATATGCTAATTGATAATTACTTTGTCAAAATCTTGCTTGTCTAACAAATAAATTAACACCAAGAGATGAAGGTATAAATCGATTTCGGGTAAAATAGAGGTAGCTTCACGTGAATTCTCTTCGGCATCGATTTCCATGACAGAGTCCTATAGTAATCAATAATTCAGCATTGCAAATATAACTTCAATGATAAACGCTATGAGCGTACTTACTTTATTCAAATAGCTCAAGAGTCTGGCCTTGTCGACAGAATCTGTTTATCAAAGTTCAAAGGTCACATTGGGTGTAAGCTTTCATCATGTCTTCCGGCAAATCACTTCGGAAAAGCGTTTTCTCAAGAATTCTCTAACACAATATCATCGGATTTTGATTTTTATTGAGAACCGATTGATTGGTTTTCTCTCAATTGAATTATCAAGCCTTCAAAAAAACGAGAGCAGCAAAAAGTAAACTTTGTGCTGACCTCTTGGGAAGGCTTCTTTAATTGCTTGCGCCAAAATGTTAGCATTCAAACGTTTACGAATGGAAGCAGTAGTTCTTAGCACTCTTGTAGTAAAGCGTGACTCAATAGTAGCAACAGCACGTTCAAGCAGAATAAAGTTTTGTTTAATATCTAAAATGTAAATTAGAAAATATTCGAAAGTTGTTAAGTAAAACAAATGAATAAAAAACCATGGTAATTATAAATACCGGCGAGTACTAGGGCATCAGCTTCTCCGGCTTTCTTAGCATCCTCGTCAATTTCTTCGGCCTGTGCCATTTCAACATCTTGATTTTCTACCGCCATTTCCACGTCTTCGCTACTTTCAGTAACCTTGTTTTTACTCTCTTCTTCTAGCTTTTTGGCAAGTGACCTTGTTATGCGCTTGGTAGGCTTGGGCTGTTCCGGTTCTTCTTCGGCACTCTTTTTATTTCGTGTAGATCTGCGTGTAGGAGTATTGTTCGAGTTTTTCTTTTGTACCATTCTCTGACTTGCCCTCGAAGTTCATACAATTTTAGTTCACGAAGACGACGAGGTGGCTAAAATATGAATTGCGTAATCACTTTTTTTTAGACCAAAAAATTCTTATCAATTTAACATCTATTGGATAAAAAGAGGCGCTGATAATATCTAATCGCGCGACATAAATAATTAACAAAGTCGCGTTTCTTACTTTTGATAAATGGCACACATTGTTCAAAGTCAAATCTGCCCAGAAGTATGTTTTTCTATTTGGATTATTATATTCAAAATTTTAACGCGAAGGTTTTTTTGTTTTGAATTCTTCTAGCGTGGTCTCATTTATCTCCTAGTATCTGGTGGCGAGGAATCTGATAAGGCATGGAAAAGTGCCGAAGAAATTTTGAGTTCTCGACCGGAATTGATCGAATTACACGAAAAATTGTACAATTTCAAAAGCAAACATTATCCAAAGTCTTTTACAATAAAACCCAGGTTAATACCCAAGACTTACCAAGATTTAATTGAGAATTGTCTGGACGAGGAGCATTGTATTTGTTTTTATCTTCTTGTCTGCTGGATTGTGATAATTACACCTTTATAACATCTAAATTTTAATAGATAATGGATCGTTGGACTTGATGGAATCCTTTCAAAACGAGCGAGAATACCTTCCAGTGTAAAGTTTATTGTCAACTTATTTCTAATATTTTTTTTTCCGGGATTCTTATAATCTTTCATTTTAATCTGATAGATACCATATACGTCAGGTTATGGGTATAATTGTAGACGAAAATGTTGTGGATTCACTTGCTGTTCGTGCCTACAAACTTTTGCAGCATATACTGCAAACTTGTGGCGCCGAACCATTTCAGGATGTCTGGAAAATTGATAAAGCTAACATCGAACAGGGATTCATATGGTGCGAGTATCCTTTGGATTTCTGGAAATTTTTTGAAGCAAAACTCATGTTAACATTAAATGATTCATCATCATCATCATCTAAGGTAAATTGGGAACGCGTATAGTTGAATGATTGTTAATTTTTACGAATATTGAACTATCATGTAATAATAAAGGTGGATCGAACATTGATGTTATTAAATCATCTTGTTAATGTGTACGAGATGGATATTATAAGTAAAAAAGGAAAGTATCTAAACACTTAAAATATAATTTTATTTATACCAATATTTTATGCTTATTTTAATATAGACAATTTGGAATCTTCGTTACTTTTACAATTATTCACTAAAAATTACGGAAGGGTACGCACCAATATCAAACAACCTATTGAAACTTTGCTCGCTCCATTTTCCACGGATGAAATTATTCCTATAAGAACCGCTCGTTTAGCACAACGACTAATTGAACAGGTATTTCGATTGATAGATAATTTGATAGGTTAATTTTACCTAATAAGCTTTTTTATTTATTGTTTGAATAGATTATCCTCCTTTCTTATGCGGGCATTATATGCTCCGATACTTTGAAGCGTGAGCTCTATCTTTTGATTATCAATTTAAGCCCGGATAATTTTCGGGTCTTTTTCCAAGTAATTTTTTCTCTTTGATAAATCAACACATGTGTCTATAAGAAGTCATTATTTTTCACTGATTGAGGTTCCCTTCGAAATATTTTTTTCAAGACACTTTCCTGCACCACTTTCAAATGCAAATTACTAGAACACGCACTCCAAGACACCAATCTTGGAGAAATACAACACGAATATCGGTATCTACTTAACGCGTCGCTTGATCTCTCGAAAATCATCCACGTCTACTTTCAATCAAAACCTTATTATAGGAGAGTATGTCGATCGACTGCGATATGGCGTCACACTTTTATGTTGGTAACTTTGCTTCAAAGTTACATTCAATCGAAATCCTTGCGCATCTCAAATAAAATATATAATGGGTTGCGCGATGATGAAAAGGAATTATTTGTTGAAGATTTAGTCCGCCAAAAGTTGGAGGAATTAGATCAATGGATTGTTGGTGAGAAAAAGATAGAAAAGGAATTTAGACAAAGCGCTAAATTATTGGTTGATTTAGCGAGCATTGTGCTCGATATGCTCGATATGCCATGTTCGATGGAAATTGAAGAAAATTGTACGATGTGATAATGAATTTTAAGTTGCATAATTAATTGCTTAAAATTTATCCTAGTGGTAGAGAAATTTGCGCAAAAATGTATTTTGTAACCAAACTTTCTATCAAATCCTCAATGAAATAAATTTATATGAAGATACATGAATAACAATATCTAGATACACATTGGATAGGACTACACTGTTATTATTAATAATAATTATAATGATAATATTGATATATTAATAAACTTAATCAACTAATTGACATACGATCATTGGGCAGTCGAGAATCCATGAAACGGTTTAATCCACGTAGCACCACAGAAAGTGACCATAACTGATAGTCTGCCTTAGTAGCGTCATTCCCTTTTTCATGTAATACTTTAACAATATCCGCAACCCGTGTCAAATGCCTTTTCACTTCCGCTGCCTGAAGAATTATATCTTGTATGACATTGTCATCACGTGCAGTATAGGTTGCCAAAGCTAACTGTGTTAAAGTCAACACAAAAATAGTTTCCAAAAACGTTGGTACTTTGTTCCATGTGATTTGCCATAACGCCAAATCTTCTTCAACACCTTTTTTATTGTCTGTGATGGTCGTTAAGCATTGCTCCCAGAATTTCAGCATGGTAAATCCATAGCTGGATAATTCGATCAAGGTTTGAATAGTGGCCGGTATTTTTTCTCCTACTTTTGATGACGCATCGAATGTTAATAATGAGTCAAGAGCGTCCGAAGGTGAATTAGCGAGGATATCTTCGGCTTTAGTCAAGATAACACATGTCGCTAGAATGTTTCTCACAATTGTCAAAAATTTTTGTTGTGTACATTGCAAGAATTTGTTCATGTCTTTCGCTTCGGAGCTGGATAATACGACCGCAAGAGCTGACTGAATCTCTTTGGGGAAATTTTGAATTGATAATTGTTTTTCCTGTCTTGTGGTTGGTACTATGACTTTTGATGCAGTTTTAGGATGGGTGAATAAATAATTGATCTTTGACAACAATTTTAATAAGTCCTCATAATATATAGAGACTTCGTTTGGGTCTGTAAAGTTTTCTGGCGTTATATACAATGATAGCTCATATAGTAACATTGTTGTACGTTCTATTTCTTCTAATAATCCTATCGTAATAGGTGATTCGCAAGATAATGCATTTTGTATTTGCTTTCCATATAAAGTGATAAATCCCAATACGTTTTGTATGAATTTTTCATTTTTGCCTCCAATAGTGCAAAGCAATCTAGTGATTACAGCCAAAATAAAGCACCAAATCTCATGCTTGTCATCCGAGGCATTTGGGCGTAATTTTCCTTCACGCAAATCAGCCGATAAAATATTATTGAAAAAAATTGGAATTATCCCATGCATTTCCAATTTATTAGCAGCAAGTGGAAACTTGTTAAGCAATAATATAAGATCCATCGCATTTGTTGCGTAAGAAGGACGGTCTTTACGAGGAATCGAGATAGAGTGGGAGAATATATCGAGCAGCATAGGGATTACGTTACATTGCTCGAGAATTGGCATCCATATATGATTATCAGATATGCACTTTGGATTAAGTATCTTTTCAATTATTGCTATCAATGTAGCAATATCTTCATCCTCAATCTCTTTTAATGGGTATTTATTCAAAATTGTGCAAATTCGCGCGAGAAGTCGATGACAGGTGTCTCTGAATCTCCAAAAGATGTCGTGATCTTTGCTTAATGAGTCATCCATTCCATCAACAATTCCACGCAATGCGAACAATGTAGAGTTCAAGAAAGGTTTATGAAATGCAGGCTGAACTTTGCCCTTTATTGAATCTTCAATTGAATCGACATCATTCGTAATGGCCTTGTGCAATTTTAACAACAACTTTCCAAACAATGTACTATCATTTGGTTGATTGGCAAGTGGTGTCTGTTCAAGTAATGTTAATAATAAATTGGCCATGTCATTTCGGATTATTCTTATCACACTACCGACCCGCTTTTCATTCGCTATTATATCAGAAATATATAATAAAACATCCCATCTCACGTCTTTTTTGCTTTTCGATTCCCAAAAAATCTTGCCCAGTGTGCCGGACAACACCTCAATGAATCCTTTAAAAGAACGAAAAAGAACCACCTGTGCGTCTGTTCGTGACCAATTATGGCTGCTTTGACATAGACGCGTCATTATATCGATCATATAATTTTCATCTACGCCCATTACAGATGCTAATTTATAAGTTGCAACTACATCGTAAAGATAGTTGTCACCATAACTTCGAGTTATATCATAATCCTCATTCCAATTCAATACTCGCAACTCCTCGAAGTTAAAAGTTGGAATGATCTCTTTTAATTCTAGACAACGTTGATCAAATCTCGGATCGTAATCAATCTGTGTGAATTCTTTTAACCATTCCAATAACTTATCGTTTTCTTTTATGTTCTTTAAAATTAGCTCGAGACCAGCTGATGACGCTAAAACTTCTTTTATATTTTTTCCTTTGTTAATTTCATTTTCACCATTCGAATTTTGAAAGCTTAGGTCATCCTCGTAACTTATGATGTTCAATACATATGCTTTAATGCAGATATTCACATATACTTCGATAATGCTCTCGTTTGTATTGCTAATGAATCGATCAGCAGTTGCGTAGAACCCATTCCAATCATCGGGAATTGTTTCGAGATCTGCAAATAATATTGCAGAGAAGTTGGACCAAAGTTTATCATTTTTTCGCAATCTTTGCAATAATTTTTCGTAATATAATCCATTTTTCCAGATGGCATTTATCAATCTTAATAAAGCTAAAAGCACAGTTGGTGTTGACTGTTGAATGGTTTTCCAATCGTTAAGCATATCAAGAGCTATTCTTACAATTGAAATATGTTTTTTAGTTGGCGTGGCAGTGTTCTCGTTATTGTTTTTAGAGGATGGTGAATTTGTTGATCCTGTTGCCGTGACGATGTTATCAGACGTCGCTGTGTCCTTTGAAGTATCTTTTTCTTTCCCTTTTTCCTTTCCCTTCCCCTTTAAATCTAATGATTCCAAGAGAATGTCACTATTATTATCAATAAATAATCCAAAACGATAATCCGCAGAAACCGTTAAAAAATTTAGAATCGCTAATTGCATTTGAGGAAAATCTCGATTTTTAAGATGATGAATAAATGAATTTTCAAGATTTCTAGTTTCCCGCTCGTCTCCAAAATAGCCCCATAAAGATGGTAATGGTGGATGCAACTCAGCTGCTGTACAAACCAGCAATATTAATATGTCCGTGGCAATGGTGGGTACCTCCATTTTGTAAGAATAATTGATGTATGTTGCAATTACGTATAAAAATCCACGACTATCTTTAACTCCTCCATTTTTCCCCAATAAGATATGCTCAAGTAACGAAACTGAACCGTTTACAATCTTTCTTATTCTCAACAAACGTGACAAGAAAGTCAATGCCAATTCCAGCGTTTTTTTGATTTGATCAGCTATTCGAATTGCATTTGCTTTCTCGTATTGTTGAATAAACTCGTTTCCGCGTTGAACTATCAATAATAACGGCGAGATTTGGTGGATTCCTCCATTAAACAGAAATTTAAACACCAATTCCTGTTGAATAGAGCCCATAGGATTTCCAGCATAATCCAACATAGGATCGTCGAATTTCGGCATTTCGCTGGGATACGCAGAGCGCACCAACACTCTATTGAATATTTCATAAATTTTAGATCCTATAAGGAACCTATCTTCAATATTCACATATCGCCAATTATCATAAGACGTGAATATTAGATTAGTGATGTACGATAAGCAAGAAGAAAGAATCTCGTTTTGCAATTTTTCAAATTCTGAATTATATTGTGTTGGAAATTGATGAGCCTTTGATATTACTTCTATTGTAAAGTTTAAAAGAGCAATGGTAATCGGATATCTTCCTTGAGCACTCTCCACATGCATCAACATAAATTGCAAATGTCCATAAGGTTGAAAACCACGAGAGATCCTTTCGAGGCTGTGTTCTTGCGAAAATAATTTTGCTGTCGAGAAATAATAATAAGCTTCATGCGGGCGATCCCTAACAAAGACACTAAAGCATTCCATAGAAGAACCAATTAAATAAATTGGCAATGGAGTGACATGAGACACGTAAAGTAAAAGTTGATAGAGCATTTGCAAACAATCGAGATCTCCGTCAGCGTTCCAATGGGTTGCCAAATACACTGGGATAACGCTGTTATTTTTCAGTATTGTTTTCAGCAAATCTAAAATGTCCGAAATCATTGAAACCCTTGAGTCCCGTGATAACAAGAGTTCATCAGTAAAGTTACCAATGTTTGAATGTGAAAACGACTGCAACATTTTAGCAAATAAGTGCCATGCGGAATACTGGAAATTCCATCGAATTATCATGCTTCCGTCTAGTTTTTTACTTATAACTCCAGTTGTACCTGGTGGAATTACTAAAGAATTTTTGTATAATGCATCATCAAATACTGAAATCGGATTGATTGATCTCACATTAATGCCGGATCCTTCCAAGTTTTGATTCAAATCAGTATTAAATTTGGTTGTACAAGTGGGGACTGAGTGAAGATGGTCAAATACTGCAAATGCTGATTCTTCTTCAGATGATAGAGCCGTCATCAATTGGATAAAAGGACGAAACTCTTGCGGGAATCGCTGCAGAGCGGTGTCCAGTATCAATTTCGAAGGCCCATTCTGTTGGTATTCAATCCACAATAAAGTCGCGAAGCCATCATCAATCTTGTGAAGTTCTGCAAAAGCCTCTACAAATAGCTCATAATTCCGAGTAGGTAACATACTAGGGTCAATCGCCTCTAAAAGTGAAACAAATAATTCTCTCATAACTGTTGCATAGCCACCAAAGTTTGGATCATCCGATTGAAAACAGGGACCTTTGACTATTTCTAAGATATAAGCAAATACTTCTAGCGCTATAGCTTTATTACCATGAATTAAAGCTGAATCAGTTGCGAAGCTTTCCACATCTCCGTAAGTTGCGGGCACGTTTCCTCCTTCAAAAAGTTGTTGTAAATGCTGCAAATAACAAGACCAGCAAATCAGGAAAACACCATATGAATAATCTTGATCCATGTCATGAGCTAATTCATTTATTTGCATTATTCCTGATGGTGAATGGAATAAAGTATCCTCCCGGGGATTTTCTTCCAATACAGCATTTTTGAAGTTTGGCTCACGAAGAACTTCAACCATTAATACTTGACATACATGATTTACATATGTCACATACGGACTAACTGAGGAGTCAATAACGAGTTCAGGCGGTTGTTTTAGGCCAAACTTTATCTGATTAAAATGCTCAATAATTTCAAATGCACGTTTGGGAGGGCAGGGAATATGAAGATAATAGATTAGAAATAATATTTCCAGACAGCTTTTTTGTTCTTTTAGTGATTGCATAGTCCACAATTTAGAATCCCAATTTTTAGGTGTTCCGTTGGTGAACTGCCTCTTGAACTGTTGATATATTCGATCCGAGAAAGCATCCCATTGAAATCTATCTATTAAATCTTTAGCCAATTCATGGTAAATCGATTCTTGATCATTTTCGAGACGAAACAAGTGACATACAATCATAAGAATAGAAAGGCGCTCATCAAAATAATGCATAATAATGTTACGCCGTAATTCTTCGCTGTCATACCCAGGCCAATTCTCATATTCTGTTTTGAAGCTGTCAATAAGTGCGATACATTCATCTCGATCATCCACTTCAAGCAAACCGCCAACGTCTTTTGGATCAAGTTCAAATTGTGTTTTCGAGGGCACAGCAGCAGCGGAAATCAATTCTTTCTGTTTTTCTTTAGATTTTGATGGTCTCCTACTATCGTAAATATCTAAACATTGTTCGAGGTAGTGAAAGTGGTCCTTTAGAATTTTTGACATAACTTCTGGCGGACAAGTACCGTCGCCCGCTAGCAAGGTGATGCGGATAGTATACAAGGATCTGCTTAGGGTCCCATAGTAGCGAGCGAAAGGGAAAAGTTTTGGCTCTTCGGCATGAGTCCCAATGTGTATTGTTAATCAATTTGATTTTTATTTATTGTATGCAGTTGAAACAACAACTTGCTAATTTTTAAAACAAGTACACGTCGTGTACTAAACGCGTAAATAAGAAAAAAGTTTTACTAAAAAGAGACACCACCTGCTAAAACGCTTAAAGGCTTCCTGGTCAACGTTACTATCCGGAAAAGAAAGAGGCTTCACCTTGAGTGAAGCATTCTTAAAAACGACTGGTGAGGGTGTTGGAGGTGTTTGAGGTATAGGGAATGCCATGTCTTTTTTGTAATTTGTTAGTATTGCAATAATGGTAAATACAAAAAATGCTGCACACAATATAATAGTGTGCACACCACTAGATAAAAAATAGATCAGATCTCAGCAAACACTGTTTGAACTTGGTTAACTATGACTTCACGCAAAAAAGACAACGGTCGCAAGAATAAGAAGACACAAAATGTGGATAAGGTAAAAAAGAAGTCAAAACAAAGCATCCATCTTATGATTTAAAAATTTATTTTGTTCTATTTTTCAGAAAATAAAAATACGAGAAAGGACCATTAAATTATCCGAAAAAACCAATAAAAGGCAAACCATCGATAAAGATTTAATAAAAGCAAATCAACAACCACATAAAAGACCTGATATACTTAAAAAAGGACATAATTTCATCACGAACATTTCTTCCATGCGTAACATTATTGATGATTTAAATGACAAAGAAGAGGCAATTGTTGAGAAAAAATTGAACCGATCTCGAGCCTTTATATTGAATCATCAGCAGAAAGACAACGAAGAGCATCAAAATAACATTCAGGAAAGAAAAAAATCATTAATCGAAGTGAATAAGCCAAATACAACATCCACGATGATGACACGGAAAGAAATGATCGAGAAGATGAAAGCACAACTTCAAAAGAAGAAACGAGAGAAAAAGAAATTACGAAAAGTAAAATTGGGACAATTGAGATCGCAAAAACATCTCGAAGATTTGGTAGATGAAAAAAAACTAAATATTCAATCGAAAAAACGCGTTAGATTTAATTTATAATTTTGAAATTTATATCTCAGTTAAGACAGCTGATTGTACATTGTTAATTTATTCTATTTGTTTCAAATTTCATATTAGTCAGTGCATCACAATAATTCACTGATTAATCGAATTTTAGCCGTTGCGTGATTTTCGAACATTCCAGAATAAAACGCACATTTCGTATTATTAATAAATTCGAAAACCAGTAGTGTTTAACTTGCATCTCTGCGTTTTATACTAAATATAAGGAAAAATAGGTTGTATATTATCTCATATTCTTAAACAAAGAACATATTTTAATTTTTTTATTTACAATAAGAAACAAAATATAATCTGAATCAAAACAAGATTATCTATCTAAGTGGCAAAAAAGATTCAAGAACTATATGATGTCTTGGTTGAAATGTTGTAATGATGAGCTGCTTCTGAAAAGATTATTATTATTAAAATACCCTGAGAAAAACAGCTCTACTCAAATATAGATGTATACAAATCCTTTGAAAATGATTAATCTATATAAAAGATCAAAATTTATTATGTCAGAGTTAATTTAGAATATTAATGAGATAATCTTGAATAACAAATTATAAATCTTTAATAATATTATTTAGGATATGAAATTATTTCAGGACTCAACTGAAAGTACAAAGAATTTGTTTTTTTTTGAATAAGTATATTCTAATAAAATTAAAGAGATAATAATTCTCTAAAAAGATTACTTATATTACTTTAAATCTAAACTTATAAAGTTATATTCTTGAAAAAAATCAAACATGACTCATAATTCTTGATTTAAATATTTGTATTAATAATAATAAAATTAAAAAACTTATAGAAAATTTGCAATTATTATAATATTTATAATATTAATATAATAAATTATATTTTATTATAAATTACAAAAAAAACTATTATTTAAGAAGAAAGAAATAAGAAAACTTTTAGATAAAATATAATATATTTATTTTTTTCTTATTTAGAAGAAACAAATAAAATTCAGATAATAAATAAAAGTAATATAATAATATATAATTAATATTTTATTATAATTAAAAAAAAAAGAATTTGAGAATATAATATCTTAATATCATAAACTTTATCATATTAAACTTAAATAAATTCTTAAAACTCTTTATAATATATAAAATAAAGTTATAAATGACTTGTTTAAAGAATAGTCTTTTAACTTTATTATAAATTATAAAAAATTCAAGATAAAGTTCTATTTTAAAAAGAATTCTTAATAATTAATTGCAATATTTTTTAAATATTAGAACAAGTTTTATAGTAAATATGTATTTCTTTATAAATTCAAGTTGATAAAATCTCTTTCAAATTAACTTAAATATGTTAATCTTCTTGATAAATTTTATCTTTATATATTTAAATCACTTGAAATATAAATAAAAATCAAGATTTTTTAAAAACTTTAATAAAATTTATATATTCAATAATTTAATAGAAAGAATTAGAAATGATTACTCTAGATCCAGATATATATATTTATAACAAGTTATGATCCAAGTAAGAATAGGAGAAAAATGATATTAATCAAATTTATCAACTAAGTCATATATGTGATAAGTTTCAAAGTAAATATAATCATATTTATTGAAGCAAAAATATTACAGGTAAATTTATTTATTTAATTTATTTATTTATTTATTTATATATACTTTCAATTGTAGATTACATTATGTTATATTATGCATTCACAAGCGAATCCATTATCTTGTGAATAATTATCATTATAAACTGGCTAAATGGTTTTGTGAAAATTATCATGTAATATTACTAGCTGAATTTCGCACTCAGGAAATTGTTCAACATGGCAATGACATGTTGGTTCCAAGACTGCTCGAGCCATATGTACATGATCACATTATTATTTTCAACAGCGTCTAGTAGTAATTTGTACAGAAGAATACACAAGTAAAACGTGTGGATGTGGTTATATTCGTAGACAGCTAAGATGTTTTGCTGTTCTTAATGTAACACAAAGCTTGATAGAGATATTAATGGTGCTCGCAATATTCTTCTTCGATATCTTACAAAAAAGGAGTCAGCTTAGGCTGACGCGGGAGCCTATTCCCTTACAGGACTTTGTTATTACCTAATTTAGACTTTACTTAATGTGGAGTTTTATTAATAATGATAGGTTTTAATGTAGGCGTGGTGTGCTATTTCATACAATGAAATAATCCCACTTAGCAACTCGTCTGAAATATAAAAAGACGCGCGAATTCAAAACAGAATTCAAAACAAAGATATAGAACACGGTATCAATGGGAAGCAATAAATAATTCTTGGGATAATATTTAAAATAATTTCCAAGGTGGTAGCAATTACTCGAAGAAAAATTTGTAAAGTTTTTGAGGGAAATGGTAACTAAAATATAATTGTGGATTCGAGTAAATGGAAGAAATACGGAGCAACTTTTATTTAAATTTTGGCTTCTAATCAAGAAAAGAGCGTTTTTCACTGCTCAAATCTCGTTAAAAGCGTAATGGCGGGATGATCTTTAAAGCAATGTTAAGAATCACAGAAAATATTTATTTCTCTATAATCTTTATTATAAATGTAAATTGATCAGTTGAACAATATTACTTGAAAGATTATTTACAAACGTTTGAAATTGGAATATTTTAATATTTCAAAAAATATTTAGGTCTGTCTTTAGACATTAATTAAAGTTGTTCAGCTGATAGAATTATAGTTATTTTCAAAGTTTTACCTAAAAATATTGTATGCATCTTGCGATATAAAATAAATGCATAAATAAAAATTTACTTTCAAATTTTTAAAAATAAAATTATTAGATTAAATATTAAATGGAATGGACGTTGCTGCTTCTGAATTTTACAAGGAAGGAAAATACGATCTTGACTTCAAAAATCCAAATTCTGTTCCGTCAAAATGATTAACAGGATCTCAGTTAGCTAATTTGTATGGCGAGTTTATCAAAGGCAATCAATCGAGGATTCTTTTGATCAAGACGACCTGGCGATGATTTGACCGTAACGAATCCTGTAAAGAATTCAAGACGCCATTCAAAAGAAGGCTTGTAATACATTGTTGTTAAAGGTTAATCAAATTGGTATTAATTGAGGACCTATTTTCAAATAACCCGCTCTTATCACAAGACAGCAGTGAGCCATCAGTAACGAATTTTTTACTGGGGTTCGCAGTGTTTCAATTATGAATACAAATCTATTAATCTCGATCATATAAAAAATTCAAGTCGACCACCGAGTTCGAGTGCGGAAGATATTCTTAGTCAGCTGCTTGGCGGTACGCTTACCTTATGTTGGATAGATTATTTAAGCAAAAATGATATAATTATAATAATGAAAAAAATCTTTTTTTGAAAGTTGCACCGCTTGCTATAGCATCATAAAAAATAAGACGTTAATTAATGTCTGTCATGTTTTTATTTTTTAGTTTAATTATTTCTAATCATTTTCATTTTCAGAAATCAAGCATAAACAATATAAATGTATTACCACTTGTGTAATTTCGTTACTTACTCTATTTAACATTAAGAATTGCAGTAGATTGCAACGCAATTTACGATTCTATCTTTAGTCAAGAGACCGTAAGATAAAGTGCGATAGTATACAAGAAAGGGATACAAAAATGAATTAATTATTGATTTTTAATTTATTCTCAGTGTCGACAACTTTTATGGTTTCAGCCATGTATATATTCTTTTTTGACTCATTCAAATATAAACCTGTTTTTTATACAGAACTGACCATACACGTGTCTCAAACAAGAAATGTCCCTTATAAATTTAATTTTGGAACCTGTTACATGCCTATTGAAACAAATCACTTATACGATATATTAAAACGTGCTGATCACGATTTAGTTAGAAATATATTAAGTTCGCAATTTGCGAGATATAATTTGGGTACAGAATTTTCATACTGAACAGTTCGATGTCTGATCTAATTGGTGCTAGTATTTCGATAAGGTGATTTTCGGTATTGTGGATCTAACTGAAAAGACCATGCTCCAGGAAGGAGAGATTTATTCAAACCGCTGATAACAATGAACAAGGGTTGTACAAAAAAAATTGGTTAAAAAAAGGTAATATCTTCTAGAATGCTATACTAATTCTATACATAAATTCTATACATATTAGGCACCTAATATCAAAAATAGTTCTTATTTCTCGAGCTTCTTTTAAAGTTATGTCGGTCATTTACAATATGTGTTGCATAACTATGATATGCTTCAACCTATTACGGGTTAAACTTGACAATTATATTGGAAAACAAAAGGTTTTGTCTATCCTATGTCGACGCATCATTGGAAATAAAAAGGATATTTATAATAATTCGGTAGTTGTCACGAGGACATGTACCAGGTCCTGTAAAACAACTCTTTGCAGACGTTGTTGTATTAAGCTTGTTCCTGAGTTTCGAATATCACAAGTGAGTTTTAGTTTTTAAAGAATTTTATAAATTGGGCATTTTCTATATATTTTGCTCCAAATGCGAAGGCTGGTTCGACAAACCACAGCACTTTCGGAATACGGTGAGGAAAGGCCGAGAATCTTTCAAAGAAATTAAATATTTAATACCAGTTATCCTGGTTGCCCCACTGAATCTCATAATGGGAATTGCCTAGCTTTCAGAGGTTGGGTTGCTTAAGAGAGTAAATGATTGTAATCTTGCGAAGTTATAATTATCTAATATACATGTTTTGTATAGAGTCAAGACTGATGTCATGTTAAAGTGTCCATTAATTTTGAGTAGGGTAATAGGAGAAACTCGCACTATTACTTTCAATATAAAGGGCCTTTAAGCAGCAAGAAAATTTTGCTAGTCAATTCGGTCGAATCTGAAGAAAAATCAGGACATACTTATCTCAATCCATAAGGATTGTCCTATTCTTTAATTCGTCGATCCTCGCAGATAATGGCTGACTGATAAATGTTTATCATTCATGTTAAATGAATACTAGCCATATATAAAAATAAAGTTTTCCCGCCCTTCTTTTGTAGTTTTAACGCAGAACAATGATTTTTAGTTATTTTGTTTGTTTGGATAATATCGATATGCTTTTCTTATCAGCGTCATTATTATTAATGAAAAAAATGAATAAATATTACATGTTTAAGAAACGGATGATGACAATCAACAAATGATCATAATCCGCAAAGGATAGAATGAATGCTAGAGCAAATTTGTTCTTTTACTTAAATCCGATAGACGGATTGGCAGTGGTGGATTTAAATATTGACTATCGCCATTATTATAAATAGCAATCCAAATTACACCAGATTTCCTATTTGATTCTTTTCTGGGAATTTTTTGCCCCAGCACGCACATACACACATATGCATATAGGTGCATACATCATTACATGTATGCGTACATTACACTAAAGAACACATATACAAGCTTAACAAGTCTCTATTGTCGTTATTTGGTAATTACTGGCTCTCAACTCAAAGAGTGGAAGAGATGCTAGAAAGTGCAAAAAAGCTGTTATTATATTCAGTCATTTCTAACATAACTCGCTGAAATATTTAATATACACAACAATAATAGATACAATTGTATACAATAGTATACAATAATTATACATTCAACTCGCACAAATCAAAATATATCGATATATTTACCATTTATATTAATTATTTCCTTTCTTTTTCGTTTTTTCAATATTGATAATTTTTCCTTCTCGTTTTATTTTTCTTTATTCACCTTTTTACTGTATCTATTTCCAACGGTGTTGAAAGTGGCAAGCAAAATAATAATAGAAATAATATAATAATAGCAATAATAGTAGTAGTAGTAGTAGCAGCAGTAATAATAATAATAATAATAATAATAATAATAATAATAATAATAAATAATAATAATAATAATAATAATAATATATTATAATAATAATAACAATATAAATAATAAGAAGAAGAAGAAGAAGAATATCAACAACAATAATATAACATTAAAGTGACAATAAGAAGAATATTAAATCATAGTAGTAGTAGTAGTAATAATAATAGTATAATAATAACTAGTAATAATGAGTTTGAGCACGAATTTGGTACGTGCACTCTATGACTTCAATTCGAACGACGCGTCCAGCCTCTCCTTTCGTAAAAATGACATAATTCAAGTATTAACACAGTTGGAATCTGGCTGGTGGGACGGATTTTGTAATGGTGAGCGTGGGTGGTTTCCAAGTAACTATGTGACTACTTATGAGGCTGACGACGATGATGAGCATCAGGTATAGTATTGGGAAGGGTGGTGCAGCTAAAAAAAAAGAATTGGGCAGAATGTCAAATAAATATTAGCATTCTTTTGGAAGAAATTCTTTATATGCGCATATATATATGTGCTAATAAATCCCATTAATTCAATCAATACTTATAGTCTGATTGGATAACTCAAGAGACTCCAGACGGAGAAATATTTTATTATAACGTAAGAACTCAGGAATCAACATGGGATTTACCAGCAGATGATAACGAATCGGTTACTACAACTCGATCAACTACACGCGATAATTCATCAGTGCACGGTGGTAGCAGTACGAATAATCATCATAGTTATACACATCGTGCAGCTGATTCACCTCGTTCAGGATCAATTAGTTCGTTGAGACCACCGAGACAATTACCAGAAGATTGGATACAACAACCAACAGAAGACGGAACCACGTATTATTATTTAAATACAAAAACACAAGAAATCCGGTGGACGTATCCGGGTGGTGGAAGTAATGGAGACACAATGTTAGGAAATGGAAATAATAATGGTGATGATAATATGGATTATAATGAGCCTTCTGTAACAATGAATGGAACATCACATTCAACAGCCAATAATAATGTTGTAGAATCGTCATCAAATAACTCTGATGATATCGGAGAAATTAAAGATGACGATGAAGAAGAAGCAAACGAATCATTAAGTAGTAACAATATAAATCATCATCACCGTACCAATTCATCAAGAGTGGAAGAAGCAGCGGAACAATACAAACAAGTACGAGAAGAGGATAATGATGAAAATGATAAAGAAAGTATTGCAAGTTCGAAAGGAAGTCGACTGAGTATTAGTACATTTGACACATATCAACATCTCAAAAAAGATGCGAATGGCGATGAAATTCAATTACCACCAAATTGGGGCTCAAAAATGACACCACAAGGTCGAATTTACTACTTTAATAAATTAACTGATGAAACAACATGGAGTTTAGATAATGTTGATATGGATACTGGTCAATTACTCACCAAAGATTATGGTGAATACGAAAATAATAATCATCATCATGAAATTAGTGATATCATTGATGAACATCATCAAATGAATAAATTACATATCCAACCAATGGCAGCATTACCACCATCGCCACCGCAAAGACGTAAATTTTCAACAGCGTCTAAAACTTCCGGATCAATACCACCACCATCAATAAATAATTCAACCCCTGCTGATTATCACTTACAAATGCGGCAACTTCTTCAACAGCAACAGCAGCAGCACCAACAAGAAGATATGAATCGACCACCCTCACCCCCATATAACGACACTTTAACATGGGAAACTTTGTCAAATTCAATTATAATGTCAATTCATCAATTAAATTTAGCAGCAAAAGAAAATCAAAAATACAGTTACACATCATGTACAAATTCTATAGTTGAACGTATACGAATCATGTTATATGCTTCTGGAACGGTTGAAAAAGAATCACCGGCAATAAGACAAAATTGTACGCTTAAAATATGCCACCGACACATTTTGACTTCGTTATCAAAATTAGTATTATCTACAAAAGTTGCTTCGGGTGTTTGGCCACCACCTGATGCAGCTCAAAAAATGAAAAATGATGCTGATGAAGTTTTAGTGGCTGTAAGACAATTTGTACAAGCTGCCGAGCATACTGTCGAAATAAAACGTGTTGATCCTCAAATATTAGAAAGTGCAAATGGCGGTGCTTGGCGTGGTAATAATTTACCTCCTAATTACCCTAATAATGGCACGATAGTGACAAATGGAAAATATAGTAACGGTGTTGCTGTTGATGATGACGAGAATAAAGGAGATTCGACGAACGGGGCACCACATCACACTGGACCTACTCGATCATTAACACCAGATCTACTTGCCTCACTCGATCATATATCAAGAACAGTCGCGAAAGCGATAACATTATTGCTGAATCATATTCGTAAGACAATGGATGCACCCCGGGGAGCAATTGCGAGTAACGCTGCATTCGCTCCTCAATTAATTGCACAAACACGTCAAGTTGTGACACAAGCTGGACAATTTTTAAATTTAATTGAAGATATTAATCTTGAAGATTTAGATGAGACAAGTCAAAATTCGATTAAGGAATTCAAGATTGTTAAACAAGCGTTATATAATAGTATCGCGGGTTTAGTCATGTGTACTCAACATGCCACTGATCCATCTGCTCCTCATAATGCCATGGAACAAGTTTTAACCTCAACAAATCTCGTTGATAAATCTGTAAAGGATGTTATTATTGCCACGAAATTTTTAGTGGAAGAAAAAGATGCACAAGATCAAAGACGTATGCAAGCGAGTATGAAAAGAAGAAGTAGTAATACAACTGCTTCAACCACTTCAACGTTAATAATCAATGATGATAGTAGAAAATCAAATGGTAATGCAGAAGATCTGTATGAGGACATAGATTCGGATTATGGTACAGGCTTACCAACTGTACCCGAGGGTGATGTAATTCATCAACAATCCAATAATAATATTGGTGGTAATAATGATGATTTTGATGAGCTTGCTTCACCTTTATCCGAAGTTTCTTATTCTGGAAATAATCGAATCCGATCGGATAGTGCATTATCTTCAAATACATTCGAGATAAATAATACTAATAATGGCAGCGCTAATGGTAGTAATGATAATAATCAAGTGGATCTTTATCGATCACACACTCAACCACATCCATCTTCACCTCCAAATCCTGCACCTAGTACGTCAAAACTAGGAGCATCAGGAACAAAATCTCCGAGAGACAATAAAAAAATAAGAAATTTCTTTGGGGAAGACAGCATTCCAACTGCTCTCCAAACTTCTCGACAACGTGAAGATAAACCATGGTTCTTAGGTTACGATTTTCAAGAGAATGATTTAATATTTAATATGGAACAATCTGTTAAAGGTGGCACTTTGTCGGCTTTAGTAGAACGGTTAACAATGCACGATTTATTAGACTCGAATTTCATTGCTACATTTTTATTAACTTACCGATCATTCACGACGACCGATGAATTCTTTAATCTATTAGTGAAAAGATTTATGATTCAACCACCCGATAATTTAACACCTGAAGAAATAGAAATTTGGCAAGAGAAGAAACAAACTCCAGTTCGATTAAGAGTGTTCAACATTATGAAGAGTTGGCTGGAAAATTATTATATCGATGATCAGGATTCACATTGCCTGGAAAAGATGCGTGATTTTGCCCAATCTATTATGCATGAACACATGTCATTTGCTGCCGTTAGTTTGATTAAAGTAATTGAAAAGAGGGTATGTAAGCATTTAATTAATTCATAAGTATTGATTAGATCAATCTTTAATCTTTACACTATCATCACATTTTAGCAACAACAACCAAAAGAAACTAATTTCAGAGATATGGTTCTTACTAATCCTGGATCACCACCAGCCTCAATTCTTCCAAAGAATATGAAAAAACTGAAATTTTTGGATTTAGATCCATTAGAACTTGCCCGACAATTAACGATTATTGAAAGTAAATTATATAACAAAATACGTCCCGTTGAGTGTCTGAATAAGGCATGGAGTAAAGAGACCAAAGAGGAAGGTGAAATAGCTGAAAATATCAAGGCAATGATTGTTAATAGTAATCAGGTGGGATTATAAT